TGATATTTTCTAGAGGTAGCTGGTGTCAACTTGAGAAGCATCCAGAGAAGTGAATAGAAAAGCAGCCTTAGCATTAAAGAGGCTAAATTTAAATCCTTGTTCTGTCACTTCCTAACTGTGTGACCTTGGGCAAGTTAATACACATAGTGATCTTGGATTAATCAGTGGAGGCTTGTAGAGCACCTACTGTGATGGCAAATTCTGTGTTTGTTTCTGGCAGGAGAGATTATAAAAAGAAGTTAAATAAAAATATATATATATGTGAGACTATGATATACTCCCATATTATCAAAAACACTTATTTTCCTCCACGTAGGAATAGTGCGAGCCTGTCGACCCAGCTGTTTTAGAGGCTGAAGTGGGAGCATCACATGAACCCAGGAGTTCAAGACCAGGCTGGACAACATAGCAAGACCCTGTCTTAAAACAGATAACAACTGTAAAGTCTATAGGAAAGATTACATCCTGTTGATTCAGAAAATAGTTTCCTCTCTTGTTTCTCCCTTTCTTTTCTATCTTCACTTCTACATGAGGCCCTTGTTTATGGAGGAATGTCATACAAGGGTACTCTTCTTGTGCATATCAAGACAGACCTATGGATGCTTTGAGCTATAGTATTCCATATTCATCCCTGCCCTTGAGGCATTAGTAATCTCTTGAGCTGGGCACGGTGGTACACACTTGTAGTCCCATCTACTCACGAGATTGAGGCAGGAGGATTGCTTGAACTCACTGCACTACAGCCTGGGCGACACAGCAAGAGCTTGTCTCTAAAAAAATACATAATCTCTTGAGTATGCTATGACATTTCTCAAGCCTGTGGCCTTATATAAATGTACAGCATTTTCTAATTCCATTCTGATCATTTCAAATAAACACTTTAATTTTATGAAAAAATGTCTTATTACTGTTACTAAAGACCATAGAAAGTTTGTAGTTACAAAGAAGTTACTTGACTAACTCATTTTGTTAGATGTCAGCCTAGATATCACAACCTCCAGGAAGTACTCCCTTGTCTCTTAGATTTAGTTATGTTAATTAGATTTAGTTGTGTATGGTTAGTTAGATTCAGTCTAATTTAATTTAATTAACTTCCGCTATGAGGTCCTGTGACACCCTACACTTTCCCTATCATAGGAGGCAATACAGTGATAACTCTGCAAGTTCAACTCGGCCCTTGGACCATACAGTCCTGGATTCAAATTGTACCTCTACCTCCTAGTGGAGTTTGTCAAGTTACTTAACCTAAGTTCCCCTTTCCTTATACGTAAAGTGAGATTAATAAAACAGGGTTATAGAAGAGAATGTATATTAAGTGCCTATACAGTGCCTGACACATCGTAAGCAATAAATTAGATGCTGTCATCATCACCATGACCATCATCACCATCGCCATCGTGACACTTCATTGTAGTTGCTTATTAAATATGCTTATCTTCCTCCATGAAGCAGAGACCACATTTTCTCTGTTCACCTTTTTCCCCCTGCTGCCTAACACAGTTTCTGACACAAAATAGAAGTTTAGTAACTTGGCTGTTGAATGGTTTAGACAAACCCTGGTGGCCAAACAGCAATGGCTTTGTGGATTCTACAATGCCTGCTCCTTAATGCACATAGCTGTCATCTTTTATGCCTCCCAAAGCAACAAGTTCCTTCAAGAGTGGCCTAGTTCCTTCAAGAATGAGCCTAGCAGAATAGATCCTAGATGGAGCAGGGGAGATCACTCAGAGCCAGCAGCATCTCAGAGCTACAAGGGACTTCCTCAGCCTCCCAACCTACCTCCTTCATTTTACAAAGTACATGCTAAGACACATCCATGACTCAGCCAGGCTACAGTTGACACAATGGAGGGCTGTAGACCTGAGAACAGGGATTTAGAAGACAATTGAGTCAGAGCAATGTAGCTACATTTTAGTTTAATTTTTTAAATCTATCACCATTTTATATATGAAATTTGTTTTTTATTCTTTAAGGATAACATGTAGCTAAGTGCTTATAATAATAAATGCAAAATCATAATAATTAGCTTGGCTAGGAGCAGTGGCTCACACCTGCAATCCCCATATTTTGGGAGGCCGAGGCAGGAAGACCGCTTGAGGCCAGGAGTTCAAGATCAGCCTAGGCAAAATAGCGTGACCCTATCTCTACAAAAATTTTAAAAATTAGCAGGGTGTGGTGGTGTGTGCCTGTAGTCCCAGCCACTCAAGAGGCTGAGGCAGGAGGATCACTTGAGCCCAGGCACTGGATGCTGAAGTGAGCTATGATAGCCACCTAGGCAGAAGCATGACATCCTGTCTCAAAAACTAAATAAATAGGCCGAGTGCAGTGGCTCACACCTGTAATCCCAGCACTCTGGGAGGCCAAGGCGGGTGGATCACCTGAGGTCAGGAGTTAGAGACCAGCCTGGCTAACGTGGTGAGACCCCATCTCTACTAAAAACACGAAAAATTAGCTGGGCGTGGTGGTGCATGCTTGTAATCCCAGCTACTCAGGAGGCTGAGGCAGGAGAATTGCATGAACCCAGGAGGTAGAGATTGCAGTGAGCCGAGATTGCACTATTGCACTCCAGCCTGGGCAACAAGAGCGAAACTCTTGTCTCAAAACTAAAATAAAATAAAAAATAAATATTAGCCAGAGATGATGTTACTTCTAACGAAGGAAAAAGTAATATTCACTACAAATATGAAGAATGTCTACCACCTCTCTAGCATTTCATTAAGGGAGTACACTGTGGTTCTGATCACCTGCTTTCTGAATTTTATCATAAATTATATTTTGAATGAATAATAATCTGTGACTGTATTGGCAAAAATAGTCAAATATGAGATATTTTTAAAAGATGTAAGCCGTTTGAATACTCTAGTTACTCTAATTCTAAGGATCGCTATTCCACAGAGGCCACTACTCTGCTTTGGAAGAGTTTCATTATACTTCCCTAGCAATGTAAGACATAAGGAATCCAGAGTGGTTTTTACATCCATTGCATTTACCCAAATACACCATCAGAGGGCAGCGCACACCTGGTTAACTTAAAAACTGCCTGTCTGGTGGCCTTATCAAAATAGTTGTCAAATTAGTCTAAGACATTCCTAAATTACCACTCAGATAGGCAGGAAAGCTGTTGGAAAAGACAAAAGGAGCAAAGATTTTAAAAAAGACAAAAGAATGCATTCCTTAAGACTCTGAGTTTCTACAAAAGGGAATCTGGAGCTAATCAATGCTGCAAAATGGGATAATAGAGTTAAAAAAGGAATTTCCTCAATCTGAGAAAACAGATTTGTTACATTTGAAAGACTTTTACTGCATATGATCATCTGAACACCAGCTACTAAACAAAAATAAGATCTCCTTGTTCCTGTTAAGATGTGCTAATTAGTAAGATGACAACAAAGTCAACCATATAAAAGGGTCCCTTCAGTAATGTTTTCTTGAGTGAACAAAAATCAAGCCTGCCTTATATTGTATTATGCTTTGAATCACAAACAGTTTTAGTGTATTTCTGGAAAAGCATCAGCAGTTTTTTTGAATTTTAAATTCTGGAATTATATAACTATATAGGCAGGCTTTTTTATAATAGAATATATCAGCTTTAAAACAGGTGATATTTAAATAGAAGACTTTAAATGTAAAAATCAGTAGAGCCTCGTTAAGGCTGTAAATCCAGAATTTGTGATAATGTGGATTAAATATTATTTACATAACATATAAGGAGGCTGGGGGCAGTGGCTCACGCCTGTAATCCCGGCACTTTGGGAGGCCGAGGCAGGTGGAGTACCTGAGGTCAGGAGTTCGAGACCAGCCTGACCAATATGGTGAAACCCCATCTCTACTGAAAATATAAAATTAGCCAGGCGTGGTGGCACATGCCTGTAATCCCTGCTCCTGTGGAGGCTGAGGCAGGAGAATCTCCTGAACCCAGGAGGTGGAGGTTGCAGTGAGCTAAGATTAAGCCATTGCACTCCAGCCTGGGCAACAAGAGCAAAACTCTGTCTCAAATAAACAAACACACACATATAAGGAAAGGGATTTGCTAAGCAAATACATAGCCTAAAGCAGTGGGCAAGAGGAAATGCTTCAATTATTTAAGAAGAATTTTTAAGTTTAATTCTAATCTTGTTTGCAAAAGAAATATGATGTATATGCATTTCTAACCAGCTTCTTGCATGATTCTAATATAGTCACCTAGTACCAGTAAACAGACTGCTCTTTGATTTTTTTTAGAACAACAGGCACTGCTTTCTTGGAGTAGATGATTAACCCAGCTAAAGCTTGATTTTTACTAGCTAGCACTTTGTTAACCTAGTGTGTTATATTGTGTGACTTTAAAATGATAAAAACAAAATAAAGTGGAGTTCTTATTCAGGTTAGCGCTCTAGTGCAAGTCACTAACAATTTACTATGTAATAGACATTCTAAGATTTCTGCCAACAATTCTACTTTCAATATATAAAATCAATTTTCAGAAAACTGTAAAGATGATTTCCTTGTTCAATTAAGATTCTACTAATCATAGAAAAGATTATATTGCACACTTTTCTCAGGTTACCTATGGGACTGACAATATGTCCATGTGTCCTGACAGTAAAGTCAGTTATCTGAATACGTTCCATTTTGGAGTAACAGATCTAAGTGCTAAGCAATTCACCACCACCACATTCAAGTTTAGAACTGGAAGATCTTTCATTATATTAATAGACCCTTTATTTTTAGATATAACAAAATACCAAAGATAAATGACCACATATGTCCTAATGTACTTGAGAAATCTCGCTACTAATGCTGTGTCACTAATTTTTTAGTACTGTATTTAAGGAAAAAAAAAAAACCTGTCTTTTCTATTGGCATCATTCAAGAAAAAAAAAAAAAAAGCTGAATCAGGATGTTTCTGTGTGAATGCACATTCCTCACTAAATCTCTCAGGCAGCTGCTTTAGTCACTGTTACTAACACCTTGCTCTGTCATCTCTTTGTATACATGTCTAATTTATCAGTTTCTTGTAGATTGTCAGCAGCCTGCTGCCTCCGTACCGCCACAGTGCTCACAACTAGCCGGGAGGCAAGACTGCCCGACTGTCAGGTAAATTCAGATGTCCTTTCCCTTCCCACCCAGCTGCATGTCAGATCCGTAGACCCCAGCTCCACTTTCCAACACCTGAACTGCCTAGGCATCCTTATGTTTTGCTATATTTTATTTCAAGTGTGGGTTACATAGACACACATTGGACACCTGCAGTCCCTGTGTTCCCAGTGGGAATACAAGAGAGCTGGGGTTTATTTTGCTGGCTGCCAGCTGGTAGTCTACAGGCTGCGTTCAACCCCTTTGTCTGTGTAAATACTTGGATTAGTTCACTGTTTCATTCCTTTCCAAAAAATAAAAGCTGGAATTGTTATGATGTTTGTCCTACTTTTCATTTTCTTTTGTCTTTTGTCTTTAAAATATATTTATTTTCCTATGGAATCCAAGGGACACCAATATACTAATTGATTTGCTTTGATTTCTATACATTATACGTATGAAAACATCACTATATACTCCATGAATATGTACAATTATTATTATTTGTCAATTTAAAAAAATAAAATCCCCGCTACTCAGGAGGCTGAGGTAGGAGGATCAATCGCTTGAGCCTGGGAGTTCAAGGCTGCAGCGAGCTATGATCACACCACTGCACACCTGCCTGGTGAGTAAGATCTTGTCGCTAAAAAACAAAACAAAACAAAAACCACAGTAAAATAAAACTTAAAATGTTTAAATAGGCCAGGCGTAATGACTCACACCTGTAATCCCAGCACTTCGGGAGGCTAAGGCAGAGGGATTACCTGAGGTCAGGAGTCTGAGACCAGCCTGGGCAACATGGTGAAACCCCGTCTCTACTAAAAATACAAAAATTTGCCAGACGTGGTGGCACATGCCTGCAATCCCAGCTACTCGGGAGGCTGAGACAAGAGAATCACTTGAACCCGGGAGGTGGAGGTTGCAGTGAGCTAAGATGGTGCCACTGCACTCCAACCTAGATGACAGAGAGAGAGTCCATCTAAAAAAAAAAAAAATTAAAAAATTAAAAAGATATGTATCTCAGGCCAACAAACAGGAAGATAGGAAGAATACAAAGGATTAGATCCAAAGGCTAGGTGCAGTGCCTCACGCCTGTAATCTCAGCACTTTGGGAGGCTGAGGCAGAAGGATTGCTTGAGTTAATGGATTTGCAGTTACAGTGAGTAAAATCACATCGCTGCACTCCAGTCTGGGTGACAGAGCAAGACCCTGTCGATAGAGAGATAGACAGACAGACAGAACAGCTGTGTAAAAGTGTTTCTGTGTTTCTGTTCTCTGTCCACTCAGTAGCCTTGGTAAAAACTAAATTTGAAAGGTAGAGGAAAACACTGTAGTCAGCATTCAAAAGAAAATATTTGCTGTGACAGTGAACTTTATGTGAGATTACTTGAAAAATTGTAAAAGCAGGTTTGCACAGTCCCTGAACACTAACTGGAGAGTTTGCTGACAATTCCGATTCCAAAGGAAAGCTTTCCAAATCAGTCATGAATTGCCCTCCATCCTGGTGAACCTCCACATAGCATCTCAGCATTCCATCAGGACCTCGCCTCCATCCTGGAATGCTTCATCTTCAGCCACCTGGCCTCTGATGGTGCCAGACTTTAGTAGTCTGGTTGTGGTTTTCATCGTCTGCTCAGTGTTGTCTCCTTATCACAGCTGTTGCCCTTCTACCAGGGGAAGGCTTCTTTTGAGCAGGGGCAGGCCCAAACACTTTCCATGTGTGTCTGAGGAGTAGATGTCAGTAGCAGGCTACACGTGGTCGGGGTCAGAGCCAGGGGAGCTGGGGTGCCACAAGTGTGGAAGCACAGTGGCAGCTGAAGCCCAAGTGTCACATGGTCTCAGAGCCGATTGTGCAGCCAGTTTTATCAGTGGAACATTGAGTTAGCACAGAAAGGTACATTACTGGCCAGGTGTCGTGGCTAATGCCTGTAATCCCAGCACTTTGGGAGGCTGAGGTGGGAGGAGGGCTTGAACCCAGAACTTCGAGACCAGTCTGGGCAACACAGGGAGACCGCCCCCCCAACCTCTACAAACATTTTTTTTTTAATCAGCCAGGTGTAATGGCACATGCCTGTAGTCCCAGCTATTTAGGAAGCTGAGGTGGGAGGATCGCTTGAGCTCGTGAGGTCAAGGCTGCAGCGAGCTGTGATTGCACCACTGCACTCCAGCCTCGGTAACAGAGCGAAAGCTTGTCTCAAAAAACAAATAAATAAATAAAAAGAAAAATACATTATAAAATAGGTTACTAGCCAGCAGTTTCCAATTGGTGTCTTTTAGTCGATTGTTCCCACCACCTTCAGCAACAGGGCTTTAAGAAAGATTCTTCGCGGCCGGGTGCGGTGGCTCACACCTGTAATCCCAGCACTTTGGGAGGCCGAGGTGGGCGGATCACGAGGTCAAGAGATCGAGACCATCCTGGCTAACATGGTGAAACCCTGTCTCTACGTAGCGGGGCATGGTGGCGTGTGCCTATAGTCGCAGCTGTTCAGGAGGCTGAGGCAGAATAATCACCTGAACCCGGGAGGCGGAGGTTGCAGTGAACCAAGATGGTGCTACTGCACTCCAGCCCGGTGACAGAGTGAGACTCTGTCCCAAAAAAGGAAAAAAAAAAAAAGAAAGAATGATAGTATAATTATAGATTTATCTCAGTTATGTAAGTAACTGAATGTAAATATTCAAACTCGTCTCAGTGGGATTCTACATGTGTAACATGTGTAGCGGTTAAGAACATAGGCTCTTCACCTATAGTCCATTCTCTACCAAGCACCCCCAGCCCTTACCCAGGGCCTGGGTCAGTGCTGGGCACATGACAGCTGTTCACTGAATATTGATTACACCCGAATGAGTGAATGAGCTCTGAAATCAGGTTGCTTGGGTTGAAATCCCACCTCTAATACCCACTAGTTGTTTAATTTTGGAAATTTTCTTTTGCTGGCTAAGATTCCATTTCTTCACTTGTAAAGTTCAGGTGACAGTAGTTATTGGGGGAGTTCAGTGAGGCACACTCCTGGCTTGGAGTGTCTGCTCGGGACCTATTATCAATACTCTTTTAGTATCTTCCCATTCCTCAAGACAAAGATCTGCAATCTCTTAACCTCTCTAATTTGCTTGAAGAAAGCATGGAGCAGGCTACTGTTTCGCTTGCTTGTTTGTTTCAGATTGGGTCTGGCTAGGTTGCCCAAACTGGACTTGAACCCTGGGCTCAAGCAATCCTCCTGCCTCAGAAGACTACTGCTTTAAGTGTTTCCATTAAGTAGGAAATTGAAAGGCTGGCAGGAGATTTTTTTGACTTTTTTTTTTTTCTACCTTGCTAGTTTTTTGAGAACCAGTTTGACTAAACAATTATGTAGTCTAGTTCCATCTGTTCTGAGATTAATGAATTTAGGTTGCTTACTACTGCCACAGGGATGATTTACTTCAAAGAAAAGCAATTTAATGAATTGCAAATATTTCCAGCTTCTCAAATGTTTCCAGTTTCTACCCGCATGAATACAGCCTGATCTAGAGCCCAATTCTACTGTTCCCCATCGTGGTCTGCATAAAGAAATGATTAAATGCATATAGATCTGAAAAGACCCCTTTTCAAAGTTGCTGGGATGATGACTGACTCTCTTCCCACCCATACCTACTGCTAAATGGGTCAACGTTAATACTTTCATTGCCCTTTTTACTCCTTCTTGGCAGAAAAGTTAACCTGTAGCCAACATTCGAATTCTTAGTATAAACCAGACAAGGTTTCAGTTCTTTTTTTTTTTTTTCTTTTTTGGAGACAGAGTCTCACTCTGTCACCCAGGCTGGAGTGCAGTGGCGTGATCTCGGCTCACTGCAAGCTCCACCTCCCGAGTTCACGCCATTCTCCTGCCTCAGCCTCCCGAGTAGCTGGGACTACAGGCGTCCCCCACCACGCCCAGCTAATTTTTTTTGTATTTTTAGTAGAAATGGGGTTTCACCATGTTAGCCAGGATGGTCTCGATCTCCTGACCTCATAATCCACCTGCCTCGGCCTCCCAAAGTGCTGGGATTACAGGCATGTAACCTCCTGTAAGGGGTGAGCCAGTTATTACACCCATTTTTTTGTTGTTGTTTTTGTTTAGTTTTTTGGCTTTTGTTTTTGTTTTTGTTTTGAGACGGAGTCTCCCTCTGTTGCCCAGGCTGGAGTGCAGTGGCATGACCTTGATTCACAGGAACCTCCACCTCCTGGGTTCAAGCGATTCTCCTGCCTCAACCACCCAAGTAGCTGGAATTACAGGTGTGTGCCACCACACCCAGCTGATTTTTGTATTTTTAGTAGAGACAGGGTTTCACCATGTTGGCCAGGCTGCTCTTGAACTCCTGACCTCCAGTGATCTGCCCGCCTCAGCCTCCCAAAGTACTGGGGTTACAAGCATGAGCCACCACCCCTGGCCTTACACCCATTTTTATGAGACGAATTCAAGGTTTGGGAAGGTAAAATGACTTGTTCAAGGTCACATATCCTGAACATAACTGAGCCCAGTGACTCCTACCTACCACCACAGGTGGCTGCACTGCAGAGGAGAAATCTGTTTCAGTTACACTGTGAGGAACAAAGCGAGAGTATGTAAATCACCCACCATGATTCTTTTTCCCTCAAACTGAAAAGAAATATTTGTTTAATCAGAAATAGAAGATGTGCTAAGAATGTTGAGTTATTTCACATCAGGTGTTCTGTTTCTCATTTTGAAAAATGATTTTCAGTGCTGGGTGTGGTGGCCCATGCCTGTAATCCCAGTACTTTGGGAGACCAAGGTGGGTGGATCACCTGAGGTCAGGAGTTTGAGACCAGCCTTGCCAACGTTGTGAAACCCCATCTCTCCTAAAAAGACATAAATTAGCTGGGCATGGTGGCAGGCAACTGTAATCCCAGCTCCTCGGGAGGCTGAGGCAGGAGAATCACTTGGACCAGGGAGGCGGAGGTTGTAGTGAACCAAGCACTCCAATTTGGGCAACAGAGTGAGACTCTATCTTAAAAAAAAAAAAAAAAAAAAAAAATTATTTTGTAC